CCACTGAGCCTCTAACTGATATCAGTTTGTAGTCTAATCTTGAAACGATTACAATCCAAAACAGACTAATTCTTGAAAATGTTCACTATTTACGAAGGAAAAGCACAAAGAAAATCGCCTTACCATGTATTAACAACAGCTCAGAAATTACTGTAAGACTCTTTAAACCTTTCAGAATTGACGTCTCACACAAACCAACAAAATCACTTCAGTTAGCTGGTGGCTTTGTGTCAACCAAAAGACTCAACAGCAAAAGAAGACAATACCAACATCATCTACAAAATAAGTTGCAACGATTGCGAAAAACACCACATTGGCCAAAGTGGACGTCCCCTTCTTCATTGTATCCACGAACATAAGCTAGCCGTCAAAAGACATGGCATCTACTAGCTCCGTCATATCGCTGCACACAGACAGACACGGACATGAATTCGACTGGGACAACGTTCAAATATTAGACAGAGAAAATACTAAGAATGGCAGAGAATTTTTAGAAGCCTGTTATAACAGTGAATCGTCCATCAACAGACTCAATGGAAATAGACAAAATTTACCAATCAATAAGAAGGAAATCTTACTCACAAAGGGTCAAAGTTCAAGTCAAGGAAACAATCAATTCCAATACAATTAGCCTATACGAAAACAACCAAAGATTCACGTTCAAGGTGGTCATCAGGAGAGATGACTAATAAACTCGTGGAGAAATCTGAAAGCTCTCTTCCTTCAAAATGAAGTGCATGAGCTGAAGACGTTGCCTAACAGGGTACTAATGAAAGCTTCACAAAGTAACTAACTATCCAGCTAGCTCAGAGAACACAACCACATCAAAATCATCAACCTGAGCCACAAATCTTTTCCATTATATCATTATTTACTCCATATTTCAGATCACTATATATCTTTAATTTTGGATTAAGTTTTTCTTCACACCAATAGTTTTTCCGTTACATTATTATCTCTACGTTTCTGCCTCCTTAATAGTATGTATGAATTTATTTTTTAATAATGATAATAATAATTTGCTTTATTCCAGAAACAGTACTTGTGGTACAGTGTGGAATTTTCAGCACATATCTACAATATTGCATCTAATTTTATCAAACATTTAAAAAGGAGTATTTCAAAAAATAAATATAAAACAGACAACAACAAAAAAAAACACAAAATTAACAAAAATGCGAAAAAATACCAAGAAGTAGAATGGAAAATAAACAACATAATAAATAATATCTCGGTATTGGGTAGTGGAAGCTATGATATGTTTGTGTGTGGTGAACAGTAACAGCTATAATCATACAAGAAGTTATGAAATGATATTCAAGAATGTTTATCGCCAAGATGATCAGTTAATATAGTCGGAACCAGTAGATACACAAAAGAATGAATAGAGTAAAGGAATAATTTAGGTAGCTAAGTATGTTTAAGAAGGTGTTCACTATAGAATACAAATCAGAGAGAAATAAAAGAGGCAAAATTATGTTATTAACAACAAAGCAAGTCATAGGTTTCGCGCTTAACATTGTCTCTGTCACTTAGAACACGGGCTGGCCAAATATGGTATCGTTGAGTTCCTCTACTTGGTTGTACGAGCATATATTATTTTGTACTGATTTCTGGTTCTACCTGAAGAGATGCAAGGAGAGAGTTGGGAATACAGCGAGTGCTGGGGTCGAAGAGTATGGTTTTAGACCATTTCTCACATGTATTCAGATGCCCTTCTACTAATGTATTGACAGGCTGACTGAGTTTTACACCACTAGTCCTACTAACTACCTTCAACATCCTTCTCAGGATGGCATAGTCCTTTTTCAGTAGCCCAGGAAAGACTAATGGGGAGCAGTAAACTAGAACAGGTAGGATACGAGAGTTGACAAATTGTGAAAGTAGAGGTTGAGTGATTCCAGTTAGTCTGAGTTCCTTAGTGTAGAAGGCTAAACGGAACACTTTCTTAAAAATGGTTAGGATATGAGATGACCATGTAAGGTCGGAAGATAGAACTACTCCGAGGTATTTTGCGTTAGACTTAGATTCACTTTTACTCCCCTCAGTGCGACAGGCTTCATGAATACTTACTAGTGTTTGTAGATCTCGTTTATGCCTAAAAGAGAAGTCAATAGTCTGGCATTCTGAGGGATTCATCATGAGACCATTTAGTTTAGACCACTGACTGATGTCCGACAGGAAGCGAAACAGTCAGGTCATCTATGTATTTGACGAAGTTGATTTCATCTAAAAGAGGTAAGTCATGTAAGAAGAAGGAAAAGACAAACGGAGAGAGAACAGCACCCTGAGGAACTCCAGCTTCAGTAAGTAAAGGAGAGGAAGATACACCATTATATACCGCGTACTGCATCCTATCAGAGAAGTAAGAGTGCAGCCAGTTGATAGCCCAGGACTCAGATTGTGTAAGGCTAAGCTTGTTTAACAGAAGGTCTCTAGGTACAGAGTCGAAAGCAGATGCATAATCTACGTTTCTATCTCCTTAATAGCATATATGAATTTATAGCTTGTTTATGTCTTTTCTATGCAGACATGTGAGTTATTTTGCTGACTGTTAAAACTTCTTCTGGAAATCATGTGATAACTTAAAGTGTCCAATAGACAAAACAACCACAACCCCGACAACAACAAAAACTAAACCTTATTTACAGTATTACATCAAATTCACGCAATCTGTAAACATATACGCAATTTCCTATTTACACAAATCCAGTTGAAATTTAGTCATAATTGCCTTTGAAAATCAAAATTATTTATATCACAAGATATCGTCTAACTGGTAGTATAAATGTACTTGTCTGCATACTATTGATTGACTGATAGGAGTAGTGTTTGCTAGCCTGCCACGTTGAAGGGATCTGAACATGGGATGGGGAGGTGACTGTTCTGTTCGTTTGACGCTTATCTTATCAGCAGTCTACACGGTTTGACTCAGATCAGCTCACTGGTTAACCTGAATTTTGGGGTAGTTTCAAGGCATTCAGATTTCTTTAAACTGTGTCAAACCGGCTAAACCAGGACACCTGATTTCATTTTTACTTTACTTTACATCGGCTATCTCCTACGGGAGGATGAGCCGGCTTCATGGACCATGAAGTTTCATGGGAATTGGGTACGAGTGATGTCCCCAGCATCGCTCGGCCTTTTGTTTGAGAGTGCAGCTCTAGCCTTTACACAACCAAGTGTGACCTACAAGGCAGTAGGAGTGGAGTAGGGAGTACACTATCCATTGGCAGCCGGTGACCGGAGTCCGGTTCATACGCCTTTTTGAATGGGGCCAATCATCCAGGGCATCCAATAAGCCCTTTGTCCATACGTCTGCCGGTGAGCTCCGATGAGCTTCATACGCCAATCGTTGGAGGTTTGGAATCAGGGTTTAGCCATCTCCCCTAGACTGTCATCCAATGGACAGTCAACCCGGTGAAGAGCGCCGGGCATCCACTTTTGCCCTCTCACTTCGGTGAAAAAAAAACACCTCCGCCACGTGAAGGCAGTGAGTAGGACTTCCTCAGGAGAGGCTATGTAAGACGCCCGGTCATATGGGAGCATTTCAAGAGGTTAGAACTCATGAGCCGTTGGATCGGCTCCCAGTGGCTGATGAATAGTCTACGAGCTCGCTAGTCTTGTAACCAGAAGATCCTGGGTTCGAACCCTCTGTGGTGGACACGTACTGCTGAATAGCCCCAAACTCGACTGACGAAACAGCTGGCTGTCTCCCAGGTGGTTCTCCAATATTTCTCTAACTGATGTCAGCTCATGATGAAATCCTCCATCCGATCAAACTAAATCCCTGCAAAACCAATACTTGACAGTAAGCTTGAAATACTTGAAAATAATATATACTCGTACAACCAAGTAGAGGAACTCAACGATACCATATTTGGCCAGCCCGAGTTCTAAGTGACAGAGACAATGTTAAGCGAGAAACCTGTGACTTGATTTGTTGCTAATAACATAATTTTAGGCTCTTTTATTTCTCTCTTATTTGTATTCAACTATAGTGGACAACCTTCTTAAACATACTTAGCCACCTAAATTATTGACATTGGCTTACTTACTTTTTTTGTACTTTACTCTATTCCCTCTTTTGTGTATCTACTGGTCCCGACTATATTAACACTATGAGTATTACAAAATTGTCCTGTCATTAACCATCATGTAATATTGGTTTTGTGATTGTTTTTTGTTCGGCAATATTAAGCTGACAATCTTGGTTGTGAATTCCGTTATCACCATCTTAAAAAGGTTTTGTATTATGCATCATTACTAACACTACCACGACTAACACCGCATTAGTGCTGACAATAAAAAAACACAACTTGAAATGTTTATTTTTTGATTGTTTAGTGTTGTTCAATCAAATTAAGTGATCATCTTGGCTATAAACATTCTTAAGAACATCTCATAATTTCTTGTATGATTATAGCTGTTACTGTTCAACACGCATACACATATCACAGCTTCCACTACCAAATACTGAAATATTATTCATTATTGGTGTTTATCTTCCTTTCTACTAGGTATTTTTTACTTGCATTTTTTGTTATTTCTGTGTTTCTTTTTTGGTTTTTGTTGTTTTTTCTTTATGTTTATTTTCTTTGTAATACTCCTTTTAAGTGTTTGATAAAACAAGATGCAATATTGTAGATAAGTGCTGAAAATTTCACACAGTGGTTAGGACTCTCGCCGACCATGCACATGGTGCGAGGTTCGATCCCCTGCCGACGCACACCTGATGATATATATGGTCGGTCTGCAAAATTTGGGCTACCGATATCCATGCTGAAAACTCCATACTTGTACCAAAAATACAGTGTGGAATCAAGCTGTAATTTAAAAAAATAAAATAAAAAATAGTACTGTTTCTGGAATAAAGCAAATTATTATTATTATTATTATTAAAATTAAGCTGGTTTACTCAGACGCAGTATCATTACAATACAAATTGCAGATTTTCATTCACTGATAGTGTAAAAACCTTCTTGTTTCCGTAATTTTAGATATCATTATGAGTAGAAGTCAGAATTGAAGAAGAAGAATAACGAGAGACACTTACTCTTTGCATCCGAATGCTAACAGCTCAAATAGTTGAACGCTAATAAGCCTCATCAAGTTTCTATTTTCCTTCATATTCGTTCGTATTTCAATACTTCAAATAATGGTCGTTGCACAAACTGACATTCAGGATAACAATAATAATAATATTGATAATAACACTAATAAAACTGATGAGAAACTTGAGAATGTAGATGGCATCCAGTTGAAAATCAACTCTGAGAATGATAACTCCTCTGGTAATCCACAAGTGAATACACCTAACCAACATCAATCCATCAATTCATCAACACATCAAATTAATGATTCAGGTAATAATATCAATACTGAAAGCAAACCTCAGCAAAATAAAAACTCCACCGATGATAATGAAGAGAAAATCTTAGCTGAATTATTTAACAGAAAACAGTTGTTGTTACAACGTCTATCTGAAGAAATGGAAAAATATGAACAATTATGTTGGGAAGAAATGGTAAGTAAAAAAAATAATAATAAATAAATAAATACATTTAAAACAATTCGTTCCCTTCTATAGTATTCGGGCGCCGAGTGAGAAGTAGAAATTTGTAAAAAATTATATTTGTAAAATCTCAGCGATATTGAAATGAGTAATTCCAACGTTTCCTGTGTTCGGCAATCTCGTCCGAACTTCTTCAGGGAAATTAATCGAAATTAACATAACGGGTTTATATATAAAAGGAACATCTTTTGATTTTAAAAACTTTGTCCAATCATGATTCATAAAACAAATATTAACAAGTATAATAAACAAAATTGTACGAGTTGTGATCAAAATTTGACCTCAGACTTACAAATATTGATCTACCTTTGTTAAACACTTTAAACAGAGTATATATATATATATATATATATATATATATATATCTGTGTGTGTGTGCGGACCAGATCGCCGAACGAACGTTGGAATTACTCATTTCAATATCGCTGAGATTTTACAAATATAATTTTTTTACAAATTCGTTCCCTTCTTTATGAATTTAGACAACATAAGCAATAAGAAGGAAGATGTAATTTGTTTGAATCGTGTTATGTATGTATTTATGCGCGCACAACACATTTCGAACAATCTGATCACACTCCATGGACTTGTCATAAGATTTTATATAAATGGAATTAATAAAGAGTTAAGAGGTAAGAAATAGAAAATAGACTACTTAGGTGAAGTTTAAAGGACATAATGAACGATAAATAAAGAAACTCATGGAAAATTCCCATTGTAACAAATAGAAAATCAAAACAAGTGGTGATTCAGCGAAGAGACTCTTTTCAACGAATTTATCATCAAGCTGTACAATCGTATATATATTTATATGGTTTATAAGAAGTTATATCCAGTGAGGGAATTGAATCATAGGTGTAAATGCATAAAATAATAATAATAGTAGTATGAAATGCAATTAAAAAACTAAAATGTTTGTGATTATAATCATATTTCAATGTGAAGTGGTAAAACAATTAATGTCACATATACAATAACTCATAGGATGTGTGCAATTATAGGATTAGTAGACAAATCGAATAAAACAAAGACGTTATGTAATATTGTGTGAAATTTAATAGCATAGAATTTAACATTGCAAGACACAATTGATTTAGAATGACAAATGGAACAAGTAAAATAACACTGGGGACAATTCAAAGTGAAAGTAGTAAAAGTAACAATTGACGTGATAAAGGAAGAGTATACGAATTGAATAGACAAAATGAAAAATTGGTAGGGCTAAAATATGATTGGGATTGCCATACTTCAGCATAGAGGGATTAAGACCATGAAAGTTAGAGGGGTTGAACGATTTCTTTTCTGTACACAGACATCTGGCTTTTCTGTTTCGATAGCCAAATCTTCAGCAATACAGATGAGTCGGGTACATAGGGATTTGGGTAAATTACTCTTAGCCTTGTAGATGACTTTAAAAGCGGAGGGTGATCATTATCGACCAGATATTCAATGATCGCGCTTCCTATTGTTCCACTTCCACCTTTTTGTAACCATGCAGGATAGTGTTCTTGCACTCTCTTGGACAAAACTCGAGTTGAACGACCGATATACCTAGTTCCACACGAGCAGGTGAATTGATAAACGCACATAGAGTTGGCCAACAGTGGGATCTTGTCCTTCAGGTTATTGGACAATAATGGTCGGCTAGTAAAGGCTATTCTCAGAGATACAGCAGGGAATGTTCTTTTCAGGGACTGTAATATCCTTCGTTTCATAATATCGGAAGCTGAGTCACCTTTGAATTCCAAGCTCATATAAAGTATTTTCTTGGGTATGGTTGATAAGTTACGTTTTATAGGATTTGAATGTATACTATTATGTATAAAACGTGGTGGAAATCCATTTTCTATTAGGATTTTCCTTCAAAAATGTATAACTCATCTTCGTTCATTATCAGAAACAATGAAGATCACTAAGCCAAATAACAGAGGTAACAGTACATCTACCATGGACGGTATCAAAACGGAGTTTACCAACGAAGGTTTATTTTGATGACGGATTCTTGCTTTGAACGCATAAGGGTGCTTTATACTTCCTAATTGCCAGCTGAGGCTTTTACAAACTTTAAGATACGCCCCAAACACGTTTTATAGATAGGTTTAAAAGATGTGTTAACGTCAATTTTATGTTCTGTCTCTATAATATGTTTCGCAATAGATGAACTAGGTCTCCTGTTCTCATCATTAATGGGTTCTGAAGATTCCATTTGCTTCTGGAGTCATTTAGGAATATGCTCTGAAGCCAGCTCTTACTTGCGCAGATCAATGAGTCCTCCCTCCTATGTAAATTCAAATTGGTAAATACACTGGGATGTGACGTCATTTTTCGCATGTTCGAAGGGCTTAAATAGATATATTGGCTTTACATTCTCTATTATTATGATATTAGCTGCATAAAAAGTCTTTTTAACCGCAGCGTTCAATCTCTATCTAGTTATCAAGCTGCTATGATCCCCCGTATAGGGTAGCTTGATGTACATGTCTTTCTTCGGGGCGAGTTGTACAGTGGGTCTTAGTGTTCCACTAACTACTTTATATCATCTCCTGATGAACTTGTCTGGATAATTGTTATCAACTAGAGCTTTTTTCTTCTTCATCAAGTGTGTCTGTCTTCAGTGCATATTCGTTGGATTCTACTGAAGAGACACCTAGCTGATTACGGTTCTTCTGACCGAACAAGGTAGAAACTGTCATAATTAAGATACTGTTGTGTCCAGGTAGGCTTTCTTTAATTAATCTTAATTTTGCACTTATCTATGCACTGAAGAAACACTTGATGAATAAAAAAGAAACTTGACAAAAACTCTAGTCGATAACAATAAATACACTGTTAAGCGTTGGTTTACAGAGATCTGATGGTTACTAGTTTGAGCATAAGCTGACAGAAGTTAGAGAACCAGAGGAAAACGAGCAGGGAGTACTGACAGCTATTTTGTCCCAGTTTCTGGCTCTCCAGTGGTATGCACATGCGGTGGTTCGAACTAATGGCATTCCGGTTCTAGTCAGAGATTGTGACGAGAGGGGTCCACTAAATCTGTAAAGAGGACTGTTATGCATTCATAATACTAACTGGAGATTGCGCTGTAAGTATTGCAAATTATCAGAAGCTGGAATTCATGAGCCACTGGGTCGGTTTCCAGTGACCGAGTGGTCTACAAATTCACCTCGTAACCGGAATGTCCTGGGTTCAAATCCTGATGAGTGCGACTGATGAGGAGCCTCAAACCTGGACGAAACAGGTGTTCAATACTCAGTGGTTTACCAATGATTCTGTAAGTGATATTAACTGTTGATAAAACCTCTAACTAAACAAATATAATAATAAATAAATAAAAATAAATATATAAATAAATATAATAATAATTATCCTGAAACAATTTATACTGCATGACCTTTCCTCTGTGTCCAGGAACTTCCGATAAAAGATTAACTGACAATAGATCGTGTGACATACTTCTATCTAACCTAAAGAGTGAACCAATCCATTACGATAACATCTCCTTGCCTCCTTTGAGAAATACACGACGACATTTTGTTGAATGTGAATGATGGGAAGTTCAGGAGCACACATTTCGTGAATCAAGGACACCACTGAGAAACTGTGGGATAAGCTGCCATCCCTTGAGGATGATGCATTTTCTCATGTTTAATAGAAACTTTCGTATCATCAGGTTGTGAATGTTTCAAACACCCGCCAGAGTAAACAACACTTTTAGACATCATATTTTACTAGTTTTAAACAAATTGAATAAAAGAAACTACAAACAGTAGACTGATGAAGATTTTCGGTAGCCAAAAATTTAAGCAGGCTGCCAGTCAATAGTAAATAATAAAATCAATAATATTTACTATAGTTGGTTTGTAAGGATTAATTATGTTTTTACCAGTTGATTACGGATTGATATCAGTTAGAGAACTATTGAAAACCATCATCGGAGTACTGCCAGACAGCTGTTTCGTCATCATAGTTTGGGAATCATCGGCAGTACCCACTCACTGGATTTCGAATACAGGACCTTCCAGTTTCAAGGAAAGCTCGTATACCACTCAGCCACTGGGACCCGCCCGATTAAATGCCCAGCCCATGAATTCTAACTTCTACCAATTCGTGATTTAGCGTGACCACCAACCAATGTCATAGGCGGGAAATTCATCCCCACTCCTGACTGGATGGACCTTACTTGTCATGACTTCTTACTTGAACTCCAAGGAACTGCATCCCGTGCCAAGTCACTAGCGAGCATCATATTAATTTTCAAGATTTGTTTTTCGAGTTTGATCATGGATTGGTATCCGTCGTCGTGCTAAAATCACAAATCTGTAGAACTTAGAATTCATGGACTGACCATTGAATCGAGTCCCAGTGGTTGAATGATCTACGAGCTTGTCTTGTAACTGGCAGATGTTGGGTTCGAAACCCCTTTGGTAGGTGTGTACTACCGATGATTCGAAAATTAGGCTGATGAAGTAGCTATCCAGCCGTCCCTGGCAGTTTTCAGCACGGCTGTATAACTGATACCAACCCGTATTATTATTATTACTATTGCTCCCTTGGGTTCCTAGTGGAACATAGGGCTTCAACTGCACGTCTCCACTTGCTTCTGTCTTCTGCTGCACTTTTTACCTGCATCCATCTTAGTCCATACTGTCTCAACTCCTCTTCACACGATCTCCTCCATGTCACCCGTTCACCGACGACCCACTCGCCGCTTGCCTTTCGGGTTCCATTCGAGCAACGGCCTTACGCGCGCGCGATGTCACCCAGAGGCCTCCTCAGCGAGTGTCCAATCCATCTCAATCCACTTTCTCCTGCATATTTGTTGGGCGATTGGTTCTTGTTTTGTTTGTTCAAATAGTTTCTTGTTGGTGATTATTTCCGGTCCGGCTATCTGATTGATCTTCGGTATAGAGCGGTAGTTAAAAATTGTTGGTTAATAAAGGTCTGCAACAGGCTGTTGGAAATATTCTTTGTGACCCACCCGCCAAGTTTCTGATCCGTATAGAAGAGCTAACTGACTTGACGTTTGTATTGAAAATCCGACTGAATTTTGTTGTTGATGATGAGTTGAGTGACGACGACTTCCAGATGGATATCAGGTTGATGAATGTGTTTCTCGCCTTTCTGATTCTCGCTCGATTTGACATCCTCGTCCGTTCCGCCTGTAGTTGAGACAATACTCCCTCGATAAGTGAATGGAATGAAGTAACCTCTTTCAAATCCCTCCCGTTGTTGATGGTGATTGACGCTGGATGTTGCTGCTGTTGTTATTGTTGTTGGTTGGTTGGTTGGTTGGTTATTTTCATAACCTCCATCTTGTCTATGGTCACATGGAGTCCTGTCTTCGCCGGCTGCTTCTTCGACCAGTTTGTCGGTTTTCGCTTGTAAGTCTTCGATTTTGTGTGAAAGCAAACACAAATCATCTACGCGCGAAATCCAGGTCTTCTAGGTTCTTCACGTCGGTCGGTCCAGGATATCCCTGTCTTCTCGTTTCCCACTCACTGTCTGACGCCACATAATCCAGTCAGTCCACCACAATTAGGAATATCATTGGTGATAATAGGCAGGCAGTCTTGTCTGACTCCTGTGTTTACTCCAAACGCCTCGCCGAGTTTTCCGTTGTGGATCACTTGACATATATCGTTGTCGTACAACTGTTGAATAAGGCTGATGAATATTTGGGGCACTGTACACCGTAGTACTCGAGTAGTTTCCAAATTACATCACGGTCAACGCTGTCGAAGGCGATACCGACCCATGGTCAAACTTGAAAAACAAATCGCATCCTTACAAACCGATTCGCGTTAATTAATTTAGTTTAAATATTGATTATCTTTACTCAACTGCCTCCTTTTCAAAAAACTATTTTTCTCATTAATTTTGTTTTGTTTTCTCATCTCTTTAGGCGATTACTAGAATTATATCAGACCAGCCATTTCTCCCACTGAATCATTTAAATGTACGTTGCAATAGTGAAACAAGAAATCCTTTTGCTACAACACCACGTGTAAATTTAGAGCAGACAAACAGTTCAGCTAACAGTACAAATAGATCTAGAGGTATAGCTGCACGCTTGAAATTTCGTAATTCACGAAGATCAAAAAGTGCTCATGAACGAATACCTGAAGTAAGTGAGATTGTTTTAATTACTAGTGTTTAGATTATATATGTTTATATTTTCAAGTAACTTTGAATGATTGCCTTATAAGGCGTGTGTACGAAACATTTCAAGAAAGTATTTCCAAAAACCCTAGTGGGTGTGTACTACCGATGATTCCCAAACTAGGCTGACTAAACACCTGTCCAGTAAGTACTCCAATGATGGTTTTCAATGGTTCTCTAACTGATATTAATCCGTGATCAACTCGTAAAAACAAAACTAATCCTTACAAGCCAAATATTGAAAATTAATCTGATGCTCGCTAGTGACTTGCTACAGCATAGAAATGCCTGGAGTTCTAGTGAGAAGTCATCACCAGTGAGGTCCACTTAGATGTCACGTGTGTGGATGGATGTCCCACCAGCGACAATGGTTGGGGTCATGCTAAATCACGAATTGGTAGAAGTTAGAATTCATGGGCGGGCCATTGAATCAGGTCCCAGTGTCTGAATGGTCTTCGAGCTTGCTGGCCTTGTAACCGGAAGGTCCTGAGTTCAAAACCCTTTTCGGTGGGTGCGTACTGCTCAACAGTCTCAAACTAGTATGAAACAGCTGTTTAGTACTTCAGCTCTGGTTTTCAATGGTTCTCTAACTAATATCAATCTAATATCAACTCGTAAAAGTTTCCAAACACGTTCCAATGTCCCCACCAAGCAATCTGTTTTAATATGAATAAATTTACTTAGGAATTCCATTAGAATACACTTAATCTATCGACTTAGTGAGCGATTGCTACTATTGTTATGATAATATGATCATTCTTTTGGGCGTCTTATGGAACGTCTTCATTTTGCCTTGTTCTCTGTGATATTCTTTAGTTGGCTCTGAAATTACCCATAAGCTTAGATTCCCTCTTCATACGATCTCACTCAAGTCATCTTTGGACACCTAACTCGTCGTCTCCCATTTGGGTTCAAATCGGGTGATAGTCTGGCGCGTAATTTCACTCAACAGTTCCCCCGTCGTTTCTCTAATCCGTATCAATTCTATTCTGCATATAAGTTAAGCAATAGGGTTGGTTGGCTACCAGAGTACCTTTTTGCCTATCCTCCACCTCCAGCCGGTTTTAATTTGGGTGATACACCAAATCTCTGAACTATATAGAAGAAGAATAAGAGGAAATGGATGCATGTGGGCAGACTTGGAGCTAGGTGAAAACTTTATCAGAGAACCGAACGCAATGGAAATGTGCAGCTGAAGCCCTATGCTCCTCTAGGAATTAAAGGAAATAATAATAATATGGAAGAACTGACTTAACATTAGCGTTGAAAATCTGAATCTTATTGTTCATGGCGAGTGCAGGAGATTTACACACTGATTTCAGAGTGACTAGTGTCTGCCTTAAGTTCCCACTCCTGGGTGGCTTTGACATTCTTATCAATGGCGTATCTGGTTGAAACGAGATCCTTCTTAGATATGTGAAGAAAGTTATCTCTTTCGAATTTCTCTCATTGATGATGATTGATGCCTTGTTGTTATTGGTTGGTAATCTTCATCAACCCCGTGTTCTCTACATTCACATGAAGTTCCATCTTCACGATTTGCCTTTTCTGCCTCCTTGTTGGTTTTCGCGTATAGACCTTCAACTTTTTAAGATAACAGACATAAATCGTGTATAAAGTTAAGATCTTCTAATGTCTTCTTGTCGATCTAACTTATGTTTGTTCTATCTCCCCCACAGTAAATTTCGCGATCAATTCTGCCAGAATCAGGAATATTGTCGGTAATAGTTTGCAGTTTTGTCTAACTCATCTCCTCACTTCAGAGGCTTTGCTGAGGTTTCCGTTGTAGGTCACTTAGCATGCGATATATACGCTACCTATTTGGGGAGCACCGTTTCAACTATAGGCAAACAGAACTGATGAGGATGTCAAAGCAGCGAGGATCGGGAAAGCAAGAAAAGCTTTTATTGCTCTCAAGTCTGTGTGGAAGAGATCAACAGCACTAATCACCATGGAAAATAAGGTCCATATCTTCAACTCCAGTGTGAAGTCAGTGCTACTCAACTATATGGATCAGAAATTTGGCCAGCACGTCATGAAGGGCACTTCAAACAAACTACACACCTTCATCAACAGCTGTCTTCGTTCAGTAATTCGTTCAAGATCAGATGTGCGTCGGTGGCACAGTGGTTAGGACTCTCGCCGACAATGCACATGGTCCGGGGTTCGAGCCCACGCCGGCGCACACCTGATACCTATGGTCGGCCTGTAAAATTTGGGCTACCGATATCCATGCTGAAAATTCCATACTTGTACCAAAAATACAGTGTGGAATCAAGCTGTAAATAAAAAAAAAATGGCCGGCCAGAAATGATCAGCAACAGGGAGGGATCTCTAAAAATGAGCCAACAAACCAACCCAGTAGGAACGAACTGTACAACAAACATACAGAGAGAAATGGGGGTTGGTGCACTGGAGGCCATACTTTGAGAAAACAAACCACCATCAAGTTAGTGAGCACGCATGCCAGGCTATTGCTCGAGTGGAACCAGAACGGGAATCGGCTAGTCAGTTGGTCGTTAACGCGAGTTTGACATGGTGGAGGTCGGGCAAAGAGGAGATGAAAGCATATGGGCAGACGTAGAGCCAGGTGGAAACGTTGGTGAAGAACCGAATGCATCATGGACGTATGACTGAATCCCTATGTTCCTCTAGGAACTAAAGGAAACAATAATAATAATAATAATAATAATAATAATGGACACTAAGAATCTATAATCTTGGAAATCTGTAGATTAATTTATTGTTTATAAATCTCTATAGATGAAATTACATTTTACTGTCATGAATGAAATGCAACATCACCTTCGTAGGTTGGGAACAACCTTACCTTACTAGTCCCCAGTGTTCATTGATGTTAAAAACTTTATGCCAGTTAAGTTCTGACAGTTAACATCAAATAACCCCCTATTCTCATTATGCTTGCTGGCGCGCTGACGAGACAGCTCAAATTTTGTGTGTTTATTTTTTAATCTACTGAACTTCTTAGCACTAAGCGTGATATAGTTATCAGCTTGCTTGAGCTATAGGTAATATTTCGTTCCATTAAAGCGGATTGTGCGTCGGTGGCATAGCGGTTAGGACGCTCGCCGACCATGCACATGGTCCGGGGTTCGATCCCCGGCCAGCAGACGTACTTCTTTACCTAGCTAAGCCACAAAATAATGCTGGTAAAGAGGAAAGATTGGGCATGAGGCTAGCAACCCCATCCTGTAAAACAAACACTACTAAAAAAACTTCAAGCCACTGGCTTGAAGCCCTATGTTTCACTGGGAACGTGAAGGAAAGAAAAAAAAGCGAATTGAAGAGAAATACAAAAGTAGTTAAGATTTGATTAACTCCTGAACTTGAAAATTGTAGATTTTGACTTTAATGCATCAATTTATGAGTCATTTAGCTTACCCTTCTGTTAGCTGATTCGTTCTTGTAAAACAAACAAAGAAAGACGGACAATCAACAAAAAATTACAACAAAAAAGTACCGCGTTTGCGTCGCATGTTCAATAGTTGAATGACTCTACCAACCACATGTGAGTTTGTGAATTGATTTCTAGCAGAGTTATTCTTAAATCTCGTCTAGTTCGCTAGCCGTCAGTAAGCCTGGGAAAAAGGGAGAGAAGGTTGGGTGGGCGTGAGGTTAACAATCCCGACTTGTTAAAATAATACCGCTATTACGGAAACTTCACAGCTTGAAAGTGTATGTTCTGCTCGATTGGGGAAGAAATGAACTACGCTACTCACTGCATAAAAAAAGTCGGTAGTTTAAAAGAAATAGTACTTTTGATGTTTAAACACTGATGTTTTGTTTGTCGTTTACTGGAAAACTAACCAGTCAGACAACAGAATAGAGATAAAGCCAACCGGTAGGTTGAAGAGAAATGTAAGTTCTTAAATCGAAAACTATCCACCATAAAGCAGAATAGAATCCCATGAAAGTATATTTTGTTGAAACTCGCTTGCGAACAAGAACCGATTAATTGACCACCAATAACGCAGTTTAGAAGTATGACAGGATGATGCTTCAACAATCCCTATAAAACACAACATTTCAACGACAAATTATTACTATTATTACTGTTTCCTTTAATTCCTAGAGGAACATAGGACTTCAGCCACACGTCTCCATTTCCTTCGGTTTTCTGCTAAAGTTACCAACCGGGCTCCAAGTTTGTCCACATGCTTTCATCTCCTCTTCACATGACCTCCTCCACCTCATGTCACCCTCACACTGACGACCAGCTCGCCACCCCCCATTGGATTTACACTCAAGGAGTTGTCTAATGACGTCAATGGATGGTTTCTCAGTGTATGGCCTCCAATCAACCTACCTCCGTTTGCAGGTTTGCTCATTGCGAGAGATCCCTGTTGCTGATCTTTTCTGGCCGGATATCTGATCTTGAATAGTATTGAGCGAAGACAGTTGTTGATGAAGATGGGTAGTTTGTTCGAAGTGCTCTTCATGACGCGCTGGTCAAATCTCTGATCCATATAGTTGAGTAGCACTGACTTCACCCTGGTGTTGAAGATGAGAATCTTATTTTCATTCTCATGTTGAGTGCTGTTGATCTCTCCACACAGACTTGAGAGATGTAAAAGCTTTTCTTGCTTTCCCGATCCTAGCTGCTTTGATATCCTCGGCAGTTCCGTCCGTAGTTGAAATGATGCTTCCAGGTAGATCGGTAGTTAAAGGAGGTTGCTTCTTTCAGCTTCCTCCCATTTATGCTGATTGTGGTCTGTTGTTGTTGCCATTCCTGTTGGCTATGAATCTTCATCATAACCTCTGTTTTCTCTATGTTCACTTGAATTCCTATTTTTGATGCTTGTTGTGCCATCTTGCTGCTTTCCACTTGCACATCTTCCATTTTGTTAGAAATCAGGGATATATCATCGACGAAGTCCAGATCCTTTATGTCTTTTGTGTGGGTTCATTTTATGTCTGTCTCCTTGTTGCCCACAGCAGTCTGTCACATTACCCAATCTACTGCTGTCAATCAGGAAAATCATTGGCGATAGTAGGCAGCTTTGCCTTACTCCCATCCTCACTTCGGAGGCTTCCGTAAGTTTCCCGTTATGTATTACTTGGCATGCAGCATTGTCGTACATCTGTTGGATGAGATGTGTGATTGTCGGCGGCACGTCGTGGTAGCGAGGTCACTACCAAATCACCTCTCAATCGACGTTGTCGAAGGCCTTTTCAAAGTCCATGAAGTTGAGTGAGGTATTGAGCTGACTACCATTCCAAGCTCTGTTCAATTATGATCCGTAGTGTTGCAATTTGATCAATCCATGACTTGTTCCTCCTGTTCCGGTCGAAGTTTCCCATTCAGGGTGTATATGATTCTCTCCAGAATGATGTGGCTTAGTATTTTGCTTGGGACAGACAGGAGCATAATGCCACACCAGTTCTTGCATTGACTTAAGTTCAACGACAAATCTAAAGTTATATTGATCTGACTAATGAAGGTGTTTTTTCAGAGCCCCTTATTGTAATAAATTCTTTGAGTCTCGAGTAGGAGAGGACTTTATCAGCACAAACCCGTTCCACACTGTTCTCAGCTGACTTATTTCACTAGCTCCGCGATTGCCAACTTCATTTCCTCCTTTTCACACGATCTCCTCCATGTCACTCTCAGAACAATAATAAGAATCAAAATTATGAAGTTGGTTCACGCGTTTATTCTTTCTGAGACGATTATACTGTTGTGTATATACAATATTTTAAGTAATCGTGTTTAATCTATGATGCATGTAACATTAAAAGCGATAGTAAGGCATTATTGAATCCACTGTACCAAACAGTTACCATATAAGAAGACGTAGTTTATCTGAAACATGTAATGTGCGTATTTGTGCAACACATTTCGGACATTCTGATCACACACACACCCATGCACTTGTCGTACACAGTTTTATAGAAGGCAAGAAGGCATGAATAATTACAATACAGGTCAGATTGTGTACAGGTCAAGGTCACGAACGATGGATAGGGAGATGAAGCAAAGGTGTGGGTGAGAAAGACAAAAAAAAAGAAAAAAACAAAGCAAGCAAGGGGTTGAAAATATTATGAAGTAAACTGGACCTTGGTTCTAGCTTGGATTACCAAGTCAGGTTTAGAGTAATAACGAATAACTTTTGGACACATAGGACAGGTTTAAACCTTTTCATGGGCAAGGCTTCAACGAATTTAAATATGTGACTCAACCTTATTTTATATATGGGCTTAAAGGCATTAATGAAATCGACCTAATGGCCCGTCTCTATAATGTTCTTCGTTATAGATGATGTTGGACATTTATTTTCGGGGTCACTTGTGTCTGGCGGTTTTATTAGTTGTTGCAGCCGCTGGCGGTCGCGCTATGTCGTGAATTGGCAGAAGTTAGAATTCAAGGACCATTGGATCGGGTCCCAGTGGCTTAATGGTATACGAGCTCGCCTTGTAACCGGAAGGTCCTGGGTTCGAATCCCGGTGGGTGCGTACTGCTGAAGAGTCCCAAATTAGGTTGACGAAACAGCTGTCCAGTACTCCCAGGTTTTCCAATGGTTCTCTAACTACTGTCAGCTCATGATGAAATCCAGAAATTACTTCCTTCACTTATCTAGGAAGCATGGTTTCAACTACAAGCAATCGGAACGATTGAAGATATCAAAACTGGCCATCCAGGATAGGAAAGGCAAGATACGCCTTCATCAGTCTGAAACCAGTTGGGAAATCTTCCGCTGTGAATCAGCCAGCATCAAGAACAAGATACGATATCACTTAGACACAAATATGAAGTCAGTCAGCGAGTTCTTCTATATTGGTCAGAAACTTGCATTATTTATCATGTAAAGGATTTTTGATAAGTTACCGACTCTTGTCAACAGCTGCCCAATTCTTTGGCTCCATAATGAAAATCTAATCGCCGACCTGCGGGCCAGAAAGAATTAGCAACAGGAAACTATGGCAACAAAGCAACGAAGGCTGATTTCTCAACATATATGCAGAAGACAGTGGAAATGGATTGGTCACACACTTACTGAGGACGCCGTTGAATGACATCGCGCGTAAGGCAGACCATCACTTGAGTGGAACTCGGATGGGACGCGACGAGTGGGTTGTCAATGTAAGAGTGGCATGGATGAGATCGTGTGTTTGGGTAGGCGGAGATTGGAGATCACGGACAATCGCGGAGCTAGCTAGCTAGCTGAAGAGGATAGCGGAAAATAGAAGAACGTGGAGATTTTTTGTTCAGGCCTTATATGTTCCACTTGAAGTTCAAAGGAATAATAATATTAATCGTGTGAATAAGTCACCGTAATGGGGTTAATGAAATCTACCGAAGGCTGTCAGAAATAACAATTCAGCACAACGAAACAACACATAGTCACATCTTTAAAATGTCTTCCGTTTCAAATGTTTTCATCGCATGAGTTCTGAGTGAAACAAACGGCTTCAGCCCGTAAGCTTTGGATTTTTAGTAACTGTCTTTTTATTTTTACGCAGTGGAGTCACCAACCTAACCTCCTCTCTTCTCGGAGCTTGCTACCGAGAAGTGAGGTCTACAAATGCAACGGCCAGTAATCAAGCCTCAACCTCCTGAGAGTTTAGTGAGCATTCTAGAACTGAACCACCAACAAACGCTAATTTATTATGAGGAAAATAAGTCATGAAACAATCAGTTTCATTTTATTGAAGCGATCCAGTTAAACTTGGTTTATGTTGGTGTGTGTGCGTGTGTCTAGAAACGACACCTACTTCACAATAACTTTCAAGTATTGACTTTTGTAGGGATTTTGTCTGATTGAATGGAGAATTTCATCATGAAGTGACATCAGTTAGAGAACTACTGCAAAACTACCAGGGAGTACTGGGCAGCTGTTTCGTTCTAGTTTGAGACTCTTCAGTAGTACGCATCCACCACAGGGGTTTTCGAACCCAGGACCTTCTGGTTACAAGGCGAGCTAGTTCTTAGACTATTCAGCCACTGGGACCCGATCCAATGGTCCTTGAATTCTAACTTCTGCCAATTCACGGTATAGTGCGACCATTTCGCAATGTCTTCTTCAATGAGTTACTGCCTCATCTTCAACCTGCTGTACTCTACTGGTCACGGCTTCCCACTATAACCCCAGATAACTGCCTGAATAAGGTCAGTCGACAGTGAGCATCAGATTAATTTTCAAGTATTGGTTTTGTAGGGAGTTTGTTTGATTGCATGGAGGATTTCATCATGAGCTGACATCAGTTAAAGAACCACTGGAAAACCAGCGGAGAGTACTGCCAGACAGCTGTTTTGTCGGCCTAGTTCAGGACTCTTCAGCAGTACACATCCACCGTGGTTCGAATCCCAGTAGTTGTCCAGTGTTTCTCTAACTGATGTCAGCTCATAATGAAATCCTCCATTCAGTTATACATAATAACTGTTAAATCATTTCATCCTCTCATGCTTCCTGTTTCATGTGGAACGTGGTATTGATTTTCGCGATATTCTCTTTATTTTTTTCTTCAGTCTCCCTATAGACTCTTTCAAAGAAACACAAGTGAAGTATCCCCCACAAGAAGATCACTTACTGACAATCTGCTTGATGATAATTCAGAAAATTCAAAAAAATCTTGGAAATGGTGGAGGATGAATAAAGATCGTGGCCTGTTGAATAGTAGTGGTGTACGTAGACGACAATCGATTGGTATGATTGCTGAACAATACTTACGTTATTTTACAAATGATAAAAGTGAACATTCACGTGGAGGTAGTCTACCGCCAAGAGATAATAACACGAATAACAGTAGTGCCGGTAAAAATGAAACAAAACAGTTTGTACCATCAGTAAAGCTGGATGTCAATAAGAGACAATCACTTCATCTAGAGGAATTCCTACAATTTTTAAGTGCTCATCAACAGAATAATAATAATAATAATATGGAGTCAAGTCATTTGGGGACGTATCCACCACCGCATAATGCTTGTCATCTTTATCAACATCCTCATCCTCATCACCACCACCACCATCACTATCACCAACAACCACAACAACGACAGCTCCGACCACAAATTGACAGAAGTTTATCTCAACCAGAATCATATGTGCTAGCATCAAAGTGTATCTGTTCGAATGAATTACAACAAGTCAATTGTAATAATAATCATCAAAGACAACACCATTTCACTGGATGTCGAGCAAATGAAGTAAGTTGAGGGTTGTATTTTTTGATTGTATATCTTCGTTTACTTGAATTTTTAATAAGTCTTCTTCTTCTTCAAAAAAAAATAGAGTTGACGGTCCGTGTTCGATTCCCCGTTGACCTATTCCTAAACTTCGATTAGTTTGTAGTGAGTCTGGTAAAGAGGGAAGGTTTAGCGTAAGGTCAGCAGTTCTAGCCACTGGAACTGTCTGTCCTTCTGTCTGTCTGTTTTCAACATAGAACTTTGCACCGATGTGCAGCAGTTCAAGTCGCCATACTCCCTCCATGTAGCCCACAAAGCTAGAGAAGGTAGTAGAATAAATGCATAATATAGACAGTAAACAGAGGTGTGAGACAAAAGGAATAGTAATAGAGAAGAATAATATAGTTTCATTGGAAATTATAAGTCACAAGGAGAGGATGCATCTGCGCTAGCCAATGAGAACGATATTGAGTCATATCACCAATTGTCTCCAACCTCCATTGGTTTATACCGTCCCGAGGACTTTAAACAATTAGGAAGTCTACACCTTCCTACGTGACTGTCTGGATTAAACTAACTGTTGTGGATTTATTTCATTGACTGATGAAGCCATGGTTTGTTTTGACCGCCGCTAGCTCTTTTCCAACGTGACCCTATGTCGGGTAACATTGCTCATTGTCGATGACTAGGATACGTAACACATGTCCTAACCATCTCAGTCAATTTCATTATGGATAAGATTTTATTTTGATAAATCACTGTGTGTATGGATTAATCACTGTGTGATTTATCAAAAAAAAATCTTATCCATAATGGAGTTATACTCTACCACAGTGCCCAAGTTTATACTTACATCTCAGTCGATGTAGCTTCACAGCCTCGTCGATTGATATCCCCTCCCACTTACATAGCACTCGACTCATGCCTAACCTCAATATTGCTCACTCTAATATACCAATTTACACGTGAGATAGACCACAGACACCTATGATCAAAGACGGCTAGCTGCCCTTTTCATGTCGTCCACTCTCAATGGCCAGGTCTCACAGCCATATAGAAGGACTGGGCGGATTGGTGAGCAGTACGCACGCCCTTTGGTAGATAGCCGGATATCACGTCTACTAAGCCAGAGACGGCGTAAACTGGCATATGTGAAACAACCAGCCGATAAGAAAGTTGTAAATTGAGTTCCAAGGTCAACCAAATAGATTATCACATCTATATGATGATCCCTGCAATCACTGGCCTAAAATACTGATTACCGATTTAACCGCTTTATTATTCTAAATGAATTATCAAACATCGAGTAAGGCGCATTTAGGCTCATGACAAAATTACACGACACTGAATTAGCTATATTATTATAATTGTTATTGATTTCTTGTTTTCCATTAGCTACCCTGGGATCGAGTTTTAACAAATAATAATAAGGATTTACTTTATTCCAAAAACAGTACTTGTGATACAGAATGGAATTCTCAGCATTAATCACAATATTGCATCTAATTTCCTCAAATTATAAACAAAATTAATCACACAGAGAATTTCCCACATATACAATGGGGGTAATGTCAAAAACATGCAGCATATAAAATGGAAATAATAGTAATAATGATAACAGCTAACGTAACAATAATAATAATACAAGTGAAAATTGCTGTGGGCTTGTTTCACACAGTATTGTCGATGCGGTATAGAAATCCTAGAATTTTTAAAAATATTGAATATAATGTTCTCTTTATATGATATGGTGAGGGGATGAACAAGGATTACAGCAGTCATAGAGATAAGTTGGTGCTGGCAGTTATGAGAGTAAAACAAACAAAGAAGCAACAGAATAATAAATATAATAGAAAAAATAAACGTAAAACTTGAAGGTATATAAGGATGAATAGAGGAAATTGTTTATTTACTAGATGAAAAAAGGTTAGTTAATTCTTGCCAGACACTATTTTCACTATCACATAAAATACGTGGCAAGTATGGTATCATAGAATTTCTATACTTAGACGTTCGAGTATACAGTTTTCTGAAGTTAGTTTTGTTGTACGTGAGCAGATGCTCCACAACTCTGCACAAGCTTTCACTTCATCTACGCTCGTCACATGACCTCCTCCATGTTATCCTTGAACATGCACTCAATTTATCACTCTCACTTCCATTTCAACTTGAAGGCCTGATTTGTGAAGTCAGGGGAGTGTTTGTTCACATGTGTCCTATTCACCTCCATCTCCTTTTGCCTAACTTTTAGACAATAATTTCATACCTGACACTGTTCCCTGCTGCTGCTGATTAGCCTTCTAATTTTCAGGATGCTGCAAAGAGGTCAAGTCGTGATGATAGTCCACCTCAGGCTGTTGGAAATGCTTTTTTTTTGAAGTACATGGAAAGTCACTGAATTATATAAAATCACGAATGTCAAGGAACTTGAACCTTAAGTTCCTACTATTTGCAAAGACGCTCCGAATCGACAACTACTAGGTATGATTATCGACTTTAACTCCAAAACACAAGTGTAACAACAGAAGACAAGGGCCAGGCAACAGATCGTTTTATTATGAAAATCAACACGTATTTATACATATTTCACATACATTATTATAGCTTATGCAAGTAGACAAGCGCAGTCATCTGATTGGTTGTTTATCAGAAGTTAGGCAGACAAACGCAGGCTTCTGATTGGTTGTTTCGGGATTCCTCGACAAATAGAGTTCTCTATCTGCGAATCATATTTTGCCACGTTAACTTTGCTGTGATTGGTTGTTGAATCAGCCTTGCTCATATTTTCTCACGGCCTGCTCTCACCACACAAGGACTTATAATAATAAAAAAATATATTCTTCAGCAGTTAAATTCGATAATTCATACAGAGCTTTCATTCGTATTCTTTCGTCTTCTTCCAACTTGTACACAATTGAATAATTCACGCCTTCGAGTTGCCCGCCAATGGCGACCAAGGTCAATGAACCAACGTTCAGTGTTCACATTCCTTTACAACGAATTTGACTAACAATAGTATTCAAACAAACTCAGATATCTTCCTTGTGTTAAATAAAAGGTGTAGATCCTCATGGAGATTTCAAATTCATAAACTTCTCTGTCTTACTTCCCAGATTCAGGTTGGCCTAGTAATCCTCATCAGTCCTGCCTACTGCTCAAACCTACCATATAAAATCGACAAAAAAAGGTTTAAAGATACACCACTATGTCTGTTAGTCTATACAGCTGACATCGTAGGAAAAAATCCACACAGGCTGATGAACTCCGCGCTTTCTTTTGAAGTCTGCACCTAGTCTTAGTGTTTTGATGATTACATATGTAATACATACATCGTACCACCTGTCAATAATATTTTAAAATCCGTCTAAAAGTACAGTACATCTGTTCAACTAGTTATGTAATCGTAGCTTTCAAAAAAAAACAGATTTATTTCGGCAAACTGGAAAGCACTAAAAACATTTTTCTAGACATATAAACAAGAAACCATCTGTTAGTCTAATTACATAACATATATTTATTATGTATATAATAAACGAGTTTCTCGTAATTCCCTTATTTATTCGGCGACATATTATTGATGCAAAAGCTGTTTTTTGCTGCACTACTTGCTGATAGGCTTTATATATATTTATATATACGAATAGAGTTCATAGTAGACGCCTTTCCTTGCAGGACTTGCTTATAAGTTAATTAGAACGAGCATAAAGGGATAACAGTTTCCTTTCATAAAACACATTTAAAGATTACTGATAATAAAAGTATAAAACTTGAGCAATGCAATGCAATGGGCAATCCATTATAGATAGATAAGATTTTATTTTGATAAATCACACAGTGTGGTTATACAGTAATACTAACTGATGACCACATTTCGAGCACAAACTATTGACACTCATAATCATATCAAGTCACTCACCCACACAAATTTCTTGCTTCATTTATATACTTGCGTGGAATTGATGATTAGACATTCGGATGAAAATCAATATAAGATAAAGTACATTAGAAATATTACTTGTGTTATCAATCAAATGCAATCAGATGGGAAATAAGACGAGTGTCTTTATAGTCAAAATAAGTAACTTGTTAGAATGTTGTGATGATGTATGTGAATTGAATTGAAATAGGATACAATTTAAGATTATTTATTATTCTCCTGTGATTTCACTGACTGACTGACTGACTGGTGGTAATAATATCTTCCATATCTCTGGTATTTGCGTTGATTCATTTCTGTTGCATATGTTGGTTTGGGTGTAGACTGGATGAACCAGGCAGGATTCAGTAGTCGATCTCTGCCTACATCCACCTACTTAAATTACTTCTTAGAATTTTAACCCTCTCCCACCATGCTGTTGAGTAGTTATGTGTTAATGCATGCAGTGCAATTCCTGGTGACCTTTTTTACTAAATCACTTATCTTCTCCGGTGGGGTCAACCATTCTTACCTTAGCTAAATTCTTATGTTCCGCTAATCTGACTACCGTCGATCTACTAGTTTGACCTATGTAGTTCACCTGACTCAAAGTCATTGCAAGGCATTTTGTAAATTATATTACTTTGTCTTATTGGGTCAACCGATACGATCCTTTAGCCTACAGAGCTTGTACCTGTCTGAGTGAGTTTGTAGGTTTGAATGCCACCACCCTAATTCCTGCTTTGCTGAGAATCCTACGTAGGGTCTCAGATGTCCCCTCCTTATATGGTTAGATTGTAGATTCCTTATATTCTTTCTTATTTATGTTATCCTTATTAGTTTTACCATTATTTTAATTTGCGTTTGACCTTTTTGCAATGACTGTGAATTAAGTCAACTACATAGGTCAAACTAGTAGGTCATGGGCAGTCAGATTGGTGGAACATAAGAATTTAGCTAAGGTATGAATGGTTGACCCCACCGGAGAAGATAAGTAATTTAGGAAAGAGCTCAGAAACATTACTGTATGCATTGACACCTAACTACACAATAGGTTTGGTGGGAGAGGGTTAAAATTCTAAAAAGTAATATAGGTAGCTGGGGAGAGAGATGGTTGATTTCTGAATCATGGTTCATTGGGTCTACACTCAACACGTGTGCAATAGAAGTGACAATGCAAACACCAGAGATATGGGAGATATTATTACCACCAGTCAGTCAGTGAAATCACAGGAGAATAATAAATAATCTTAAATTGTATTCTATTTCAATTCAATTCACGTACATCATCACAACATTCTAACAAGTTACTTATTTATTTTGTCTATAAAAACACTCGTCTTATTTCCCATCTGATTGTACTTGATTGAGAACACTAAGATTATTTCTGAATGTACTTTATCATCTTATATTGATTTTTATTCAGTCAAATGTCTAATCATCAATTCCACTCATGTATATAAATGAAGCAAGAAATTTGTGTGAGTGAGTGACTTGATATGATTATGAGTGGCAATAGTTTGTACTCAAAATGTGGTCATCAGTTAGTATTACTGTATAACCACACTGTGTGATTTATCAAAATAAAATCTCATCTACAATGGGATTTAGAAGACTAGTCTTCATTGGTGGGGAAAAACAAAGATTTCAGTACATTTTATTTCATTGGCTTCTCATCACTGCTTACAGGCCAACGACATTATTAAGTATATCTACAGAAATAGTTTCAACATACACAGAGAGTTCGTTTTTAAACAATCAATATATCCATACAATAATAATATATATATAATAATAAACACTTTATCACAAGCAACAATAATAATCATACACAATGGTAACTTCGAGAATTACGTAATCGAATGAAAGAGAGGGTGAAAATATCCAGTTACCAGAATAACCAAGGAAAGAATGATAAACGCTTCTTTCTGAACGCATAAATCGGTTTTCAGGCGCTTGATGGAGATTGCTTCTGCAAACCTGAGGAGAATTGGACTCTCTTGCCTATTGATAATTTTGAACAATCGTGCGACGTCCACCTCATGACCTGTGTCAAGGAGACGCCTGGCGGTGGCACTGTTTGGAACATTTATTGTCTTGAGACATAAGCATTTTGGTACATGTTCAGAAAATCGTAGATATGCCATTCTTTCTGTTCTTCCAATGTAACTGCTCTCGCAGACACAGTTAGAGTTAACATGAGAAGGATGTCTATAGATTTTTGACGCATGATCCACTTCACCACAATTTGGAACGTCATCGTAAATAGGCAGAAGTTAGAATGCATCGACCATTCATTGGATTCTGTGACAACGTGCTAGCCTCTTAACCTTGTGACCATAGGTTTGATCCCTGGCCGTAGGATCATGGGCGCGTACTGGTGAAAAGTTCCAGTAGGACATTTAGAAAGCAGAAGGACTGAATGAAGAAATAATCACTTTTCAATTAGATCCTCATCTCACTCTGACTCTACTCTAATATCTAATGTATAACATTTTTATTACAATTCACAACAATTTACCGATCAAGTGGCACTGATATGTTTGTTAACAATAATTAGTCAATGTCAACATGTCAATGGGGTGGGGTGATAATTAACGAAGAAAATTAATACAGGATTTCATTATGAGTTGACATTGGTTAGAGAACCATTGGAAAAACACCTGGAAGTACTGCCAGACAGCTGTTTCGTCGGCCCAGTTTGAGACTCTTCATCAGCACGCACCCACCACAGAGGTTTGAACCCAGGGCCTTCTGGTTACAAGACTAGCGAGCTCATGGACCATTAAGCCACTGGGACCGGATCCAGTGGCCAGCCAAAAAATTCCAACGTCTACCGACCGATTCATGACATAACGCCACCGTTAGCCAATGTCATCGATGGCGAGTATTTGTCCTCACACCCGACTTGCGGCACCCTACTGGTCACGACTTCCCACTATAACCCAGGTAACTACCTACTTGATAGGGTCAGTTACCAGTGAGCATCTCAATTATTGGTTTGCAGGAATTGGAAAACCTGAGAGTGCTGGCTCTCTAACCAATTTCAACTCGTGATGAAATCCTGTAATCAATCAATCAAATCCCTACAAATCAATACTTGAAAATTAGTACACACAATGAAAAGATTGATTACATAACAGATTGTTAAATGACATAAAACGAGTTGGACAATGATAATTTGTAATTAAAGATGAAGTAGTCAGAAATATAATAAAATAATTTGGAAAATTATAATTTTTAAAAATGTTTTGGCGAAAGGGGAAGCGAAGTAGTCCGGTTTATACATTCATTCATGTAACGATGGCCAAGGTAAAGAAAGTGGTTGTACGAATTTCTTTTGAACTCAAAGGTTTGGCTTCTTTAGGTGGATTTTTATGGTTTCAGCAGTATGTAGAAGACAAAATCATAAAGCAAAATTATGATTAGTAGGAATACGATAAATAATTTTAAATGGTGTATTAACATCAACCTTATGCTCACTATCTACAAGGTGGGCTAAAATAGAGCTACCTACGAATAGATCTTGTTTGTCGCTTGCTTAAACATGTGCAGGATGATGTTCGAAAATACGATGATGAACCTGCCTAATTGTACGCCACTCGATGTAGCTGGCTCCGCAGCTTCAGTCAAACTGGTAGATACACATAGAGGAGGAGGAGAGGCAAATTTAGGTAGTTTATCCTTATTTCTCGAAGGTAGAATAGGTGTGGTTGTGAAGAGACAACGTACCTCTCTCTGCTGCATAATAAGCTCTTTTAACTACATTATTCAGGCGCTGTGTTGTTATTCCGCTGATGTTGTCACCGAGGGACAGGAGTTTTATGAACAGTGGTTTTTTCGGAACTGTTGCCATAGTGACTGTCCTAGATGTTGAATTCATATTTTTCTCAATGAATTTCTCTGGACAACTATTTTTTCTAAGTAATTCTCTAATAATCTTAAGCTCCTCATTGAGGCAGTCGTCTGAACAGATTAACCTAGCTCTATGAACCAGACGCTTTACCAGGTTATGTTTATATTTCAAAGGTACAAAACTCAAAAAATGTGTGTACTGACCGATTGTTGTTGTCAGTTTCCTATACACACTTCTTCTAAGTGTGCCATCTTCTCTCCTTACCATGAAGACGTCTAGGAATGAGATACTGTCATTACTTTCTTTCTCTATGTTAAGGTTTATTGCTGAAAGTGTATCATTAAACCTGTCCAGGATGTTCATCGCATCATTCTCATTTTTCAGAACCAGAAATGTTAAGCCTCTTGAAATTTATATAATTAACATTGATCAACCAAAATATGACGTCATAATTAGTTTTTATCTGCTTTTTCTTTTAGCCTTTGTTTTATAGTAGTCAAAAGAATCCAAATATCACTGCCTACAATGGACATAAAATATATGATTTATGTCATCATAGCCATAGGATACCTAACAATATTAAAAGACAATCTACGCATATCAATGGAGCATTAAACAATCAAAATACACTTTATGGATCCTCATCATCTTCATCAGCTTACCCATCACAAGTGAAATATTCTTCCGATTTTAAATTAATCCCAGGGATGCACTTATATTCTCTTCAGAAAAACAATCCATCTCTGGGTACAACAGGACCAGTCTGTCCTGCATCTTTTATTGTTTGCACTGTTCCTCCGCTGGGTACGACAACTCCTTTCCCTGTTCCACTTAATCACGTCCAATCTATTCAGCCTACCTCATCATCGGCACCTGCACCACCTTTACCTCCAAGAATTCATGGTCGAACATCGATACTTTTAAATCATAGTTCTAAATCAATGGAAGAAAGTGTTTTATCTAGGACAATTGATGAGTCAAACATGAAAATCGATAAAAATCAAATGAACACTACTCAGCACACCATTAGCATGAGTGAAATGGATAAAAATGCCAGCAGTGTTGATAAATCCATTAACCTTATAAATAATAATATATGTATACCAATGACACGGAAAACAGGGACAACTGTCAATTTGGTGCCTTATAGTTCACGATGGCCCACTGGTTGTAGTGGGAGTGGTGGTGGTGGTGGTGAGAAACATGCTTATTTTAATTGTATGGCTAGCCGTCAACACAATATCAAGTCAAACTTTCCAAATAATTGTCAGTTTAAAGTAAGTCTGAATATTTGTATGTTATTGAATTCTTTGTGTGATATGGCCTAAAAACAGTTGACTTTGTTTTGATTTTTTGTAGCTCAAGGCAATTGTTACTATTGACTTGAACTGTATTTAAGACAGATAAATGACTGTTTAGTAAGGAATGTCTAGTCTGCCTGACCAGGGTTTTAATAACCTTATGATGAGCCAATTTCCCAGTGACTGTTCTGAGCCTTTTCTATCCGTTGACAGAAGAAGCATCCAGAGAAGATAGGACTTCACATTAGGTGAACATAGAGAAGACAGAGGTAGTTGGTGAAGATTCTGGCCACCAGCAACAACAGCAATAGACAACAATCAGTATAAATGGGAGGAATAGGAAAGAAGAAACTTCATTTACCTACATACCTACCTACCTATCTGGGAAGCACCGTCTCGGCTATAGGCGGACGGAATTGATGAGGGTATCAAGGCGGCGAGGATCGGAAAAGAAAGGCGCACTTTCATTACGCTCAAGTTTGTGTGGAGATCAACAGAACTATTGAGCATGAAAAATAAAGATCACGATCTTCAACTCCCATGTGAAGTCAGTCAGTGCTACTTACTATATGGATCTGAGATTTGGTGCCACGCCACGCCGCCCCAAGAAGGACACTTTGAACAAAATAGAGAACTATATCAACATCCTTCTTCGCTCTATACTGAAGATCAGATCACCAAAAAAGATCAGCAACAGGGAGGGATTTCCGGCAAAGGAGCGACGAACCAACCCATCAGGAACCAATTGTGTACAAATATGCAGGAAGAAACGGAGGTGGATTGGTCATACTCTGAGAAAACAAACCACCATCCAGTGAGTGACATCACACGCCGGGCCATCCCTCAGGTGGAACCCGAATGGAAAGCGGAGAGTTGATCATCAGTTTGAGGGTGACATGGAGTGGAGTATGTCATGTGAAGAAGAGATGAGATCATATGGACAGACGTGGAGGCACGTGAAAACGTTGGCAGAGAACCGAACGCTATGGAGATGTGTGGTTGAAGCCAGATGTTCCTCTAGGAACTAAAGGAAACAATAATAATTCGTACTCGACTGTGGGAAGTTAGGAATTTGTTTCAGTTTCTAAGAAGATGGTTTTGGAGGGTATTTCCTCATGACTACTTGTCCGAACAATAAAGCGCGTTTCCCACAGCTATTATTTAATTCTTTTTCGTTTCTGTGAATACTGTCTTCAGTGTCAAGTTTCGTAGACTAATATCAGTCAGAGAACCATTGGAAAACCAAGGAGTATTGAACAGTTGTATCGTCCTAGTTTGGCACTGTCGAGCAGTACTCACCCACGGGGCTGGAACTCAGGATTTGCCGATAAACTATTCTGTTGAAAATTAGTTCGATGCCCGGCTGTGACAGGCTACAGGACAAAGTTTCCTGGATGGGGTCTTAGAGAGTGGTCGTGACCAGTATTGTCCAACATGTCAGGCGTGACGACGAAACCGTTGTCCAGTACTCCCTCGTTATTACATTACTTGAAGATTTTAGAAAAAGATTAAGTTTCTTAGAATAAGACAAGCTTGGTACTCTCTACATTCAGCAGCATAAAGCTTTCATTGAATTAGTTGTGTTATCTGAGCTGATTGGTTGATTTAATTGCGAAACTTTCGTCGTCCTTGTGAAGAACATCTTCAGCGCAGGTTTTAATATAAAATAGACGCTGGTTGCTAAGGGATACAATTACATCATTTGTGGAGAATTTAAATTAGTCCATTTTATATCAAGTCCTGAGCTGAAGATCTTGTCTAGAAGGATGACGAAAGCTTCACAGTTAAATCAACTAACTCAAGAAACATAAGTAATTCAATATCATCTACTTGAACTACAGATTTTCTCCGTTATTTTCAAGAATTGGTTTCGTAGGGATTTTGTGTTTGATTGCATGCAGGATTTCATTATGAGGTGACATCAGTTAGGGAACCACTGGAAACCCTGGGAGTACTGCCAGACAGCTGTTTCGTCCTAGTTTGGGGCACTTCCACAGAGCGCGGCCAACAAAAGGGTTCGAACCCAGGAAGTTCCGGTTACAAGGCGAGTTAGCTCATAGACCATTCAGCCACTGGGACCCGATCCAATTGTCCTTGGATTCTAACTTCTGCCAATTCACGATTTAGTGCGACCATTTCGCAGTGTATTCTTCTTCAGTGAGTTACTGCCTCATCTTCAACCTGGTGTACTCTACCGGACACGGCTTCCCACTAGAACCCCAGGTTAACTGCCTGAATAGAGCCAGTCACTAGTAAGCATCAGATTAATTTTCAAGTATTGGTTTTTCAGGGATTTTGTTTGATTGAATGGTGGGTTTCACCATGAGCTGACATGTATGTCCAAACCAAGTTTATTTTTAACGGTTTGAAAAAATTTGGGCATTGGGTATATGATATTCATTATAATAAAGGTTATTGTATTTCCCAATGAATGTAAAACAAAACCATATTGTCGGTTTTACTGAAGTTTCGCTATTTAATGCTATAGCTTTATCGAAGTATTATTAAACCGGAATTTACAAAATCTCAGCATATATATAACAAAAAGTTAGGAGGTGAGAAAATATACGCGTTAGGTCAAGTTAAAAGAAGGATATATTGAAAGTCACAAAACCAAATAACAAAGGTAATAGTATGTCTGTTATGATATCAAAATAAAGTTTACTAACTTGATTATCGTTTGTCTGTCTGAGGTCGTTTTTTGTTGTCAAGTTGGTCAATTGGTAAAGATAACAAAATCAAATGTAGATTGTTGGATTTGATCAGTGTGTAAAATTATAAAAGTAGTGTGTGTTTACATAGTGAGCTTGCTTATCACATTCGTGTTGATTTTGTCACTTCGTTGGGGGAGGGGAGGGAGGTGTTGTAACCAGGTCAGATTCTGTTTTAGTCCATCATTCCTATTCAGACAATTTGGATTCCACTTGATATGAAGTGCTTCTGATGAGATAAGACGTTCTTCGTGATTTCTGAAGTTTTTCTGGATTATTTTAAAATTGTCAGAATCACTTTTCTGGCCTCATTCTATAGAGTGTAGACAGCCTATGGCTGGCTGGTAATTTTTCAAGCTTTTCTCGTTCAACTGGATTTCTCGGTGGTCAAACAAAGGCGGCTCTGTGGTGCTCATGCCTCCTGATTTTGATTTCTGTCTGGTGAGGGTTGTCCGGTGTATATCGTACCACATTCCAAGCAAGCATTTTATTTTGTAGACACGATTAGTTTGGGAATGTTTAGGGATTTGGTCTTTTATATGGACAAGGTTGTTTCGCAGTGTGTCTGATGTTTTGAAGAAAATTCTGATGTCGAGCTGATTGAGTATTCTTCTGATATCGTCTGACGTCTCTGCTATATATGGAATGACGACTGTTGATGTCCATGTTTTCGGAATGTGTTTTCGGCCATACTTAATGTCTGCGTTGATTTTGTTGATGAAGTTCCTTGGGTAGTTGTTTCGCTTGAGAGTTTCAGTAATGTTTGATGTTTCTTCTTCTTTTTCTTTCTCATCCGTTGTCGGAGAGTGTGCTCGTCTAAGAATACTTGAAACAACTGAAATCTTTGCGCCGATGGGGTTTAATGATTTGAAGTCTAAATATTTATTGGAGTGGGCTTTCTTCCTGAATATGGATATACTAAAATATCCGTTTTCCTTTCTCTTAATTAGGCAGTCTAGAAATGGTAGTTCACCGATGTCTGAATCTGCTTCCGAAGTGACTTTCTGTCTTTCTATCCGTCCCTTTAACTTCACCTAAGTCTATTTTCTCACCACTTAACTCTTTGTTATATATAGGCTGAGATTTTGTAAATTCTAGTTTAATAATACTTTGAGAAAGCTATTAATATTAAATAGCGAAACGTCAGTAAAACCGAGAGTATCGTTTTGTTTTTCATTTTATTGGGAAATACAAAATGAAACCTTTATTATAATGAGCTGACATGAGTTAGAGAACCACTGGAAAACCGTTATTTGACGGCTACCATTATGTAGAATGAAGATCAAGCAATTCTCGCTGATGCTAGCTAGATATTGGTAATTAACCTAAGACTTCTCATAACCAGTTAGTTCCCTTCATTATTTTGAACAGAGTAAGGAAGGACATGCTTGCAGGATGAAAAAGAAGCTCATACCTTTTACTTTACAGATTTCTAACAACTATATTAACAGACTAAAAAAAACGAGATAAGTTATTATAAATGCAAAAAATATTTATAAACATACCTCAAATCCAATTATTTCAAATCCAAAGGCATATTTCTGAAACAAGAGGTACAAACAAATACAAGATAGTTAGCAATCTAACAATCAGGTATGGAATGTTTGATAGTAAAGGGATATGAGGATAGGAGTGAAAAAAATAAGGCAAGCATTACGTAAAACAAGCTATTACGTAAATTCAAAGACTGATAATGAATTCAGCTCATTGAGTTGAAATCAACAAGAAAAATTGTGACGCAATAATAAAAAAAAAACAACGAAAACAAAACAGAGACGTCTAGTTGTTACGGGGTGGTGTAAGACTAATTACCCTAGACTACCCTTGTGTAAACAGAGAAATTAGAATGAATTCGTTTGATAGGTATGGCTTCAACATATCGAAGTTTTATGGCTATGTATATGTTGAATGTTTTGACTATTTTTGACTGAATTCCCCGTACCAATCAGGAGTTTAACAAGTGTACCTGCCAACACCTTCTTACTTATCGTATGAAGATTGTTTGATAAGTGGTCAAAAAGTCAAGTTGATGCTCTCCTCTCAGTCCTTCCTATTTACTTGTTACTGGAAGTGTAAATGAATTTGTAAATGCAGTTGCAGTTAACACGAGTAGGGTACGTATTTGCATTGCACTGTATTACTGAGCATTTCTTGTTACAAAGACGGATCAGTCTAGTGGTGGGGAATGCTTTCTTTTGCAATTCCTGTTGATACGTTTTCCCCCTTCATACACCAGATGTATAACTATATTCATTAAGTCAGTAA